CACCATTTTATTGAGTGCAACTGAGAAAATGTGTTAAAAAGTTCTTTGGGATATTCAATTTCCCAATCATAGTAGACAAAAAAATATTCTATGCTATCTCCCTTAATTAAAGAGGAAAATAATTGCAGGTGGTAGTCGCTGCTGAAAACTACAAAGAAATTGCTAACTTCTTATATCATGCAAATTGCATCAATGATGAAAGAAAGACCTTTTCCGTGGCAAAAATTTGAGCAGCATAAAATTATGCCTCAGGCTTTGTTCATGTGTAAAATTACACATCAACTTATTAACACCAGATGGCAGTGGGATGATATTTTTTCTTAGCTGCATCCCTGCTTTATAATCAAAATCTCCTTAATGGCAGGATAAGAAACTTATCAAGACAATTAAAGAGAACATATATGTTGATATCAAGGCACAAAGTGTCTTTACAAGGTTGCTCAACTCACCTGAACAAATTGTTTATTTTCTCTTCAGCATGGGTTGGTTCCATAACTTACGGTATGATGTTCCTTCTCGGGCCTCTAGCGACCACCCTGTGCCAAAAGTTGGGCTGCCGTGCGACAACAATGATTGGCTGTATGGTGGCTGCAGGTGGTTGTCTCTTAGGGTCAATATCTACCAATATTTACTTGATGGACTTGACCTATGGATTAATGTTTGGAGTCGGAGCAAGCATGTGTTATTTTCCATCTGTAGTCATATTGGGACAGTACTTCTCAAAGCGCCTCTCATTAGCCAATGGAATCACTTCCTCAGGCAGCGGCGTTGGAACTTTGTGTATGGGACCTGTCATGCAGAAATTGATTCAGCACCTCGGAATGCGTAACACAATGAGGATCTCTGCAGGAATGCTTGCTTGTGTGGTTTTCTGTGCGCTTGTCTACAGACCCATAAACACTGGCTTTCTTCAACCAGCAAAGCAGGTTGAAGGGGAAAAGAAATCGCGATTTGCAATTCTGAAGAGTTTCAAGGAATTGTTTAAAAACAAGGCATACATTTTGTGGTGTTCATCATTAGCACTTTGGATGCTGGGGTACTTTGTACCATTTGTTCACTTGGTAAGTCCCTTTAATTTTTCCCTCTGAAATGACACACTCATTGCCACTGTAAAGCAACATCAGATTCATTTAAACCCAAAAAGAAACATAATAAAACCTGACCTTTATGAATACTAAGAGTAAATGCCCCACCAGCAGTGATACTATAAATGTATATAACTCAAAACAAAGCATTTAATATCACACCCTCGTCTAACATGCCAATTATAAATAGAACTCACTAGTGGCCCTCTCCCAAAGGCTTTTCAGCTCAGCTGGAAGTTTGAGCATTTGCGGAAGCTGGCATCAGCAGAGGTCATGGGTTCGAATCCCACTGAAGCTTCAGACTTTGAACTCTAGATTTTTGGTATTGCTTTCCAAATGTGAAGGTCTTTTTCATTTTGATAATAGAGCAAGGTCTTTATTTGTTCTTCCCCCCTTCTCTCCAAAGCAAGAAGAGATGAGTCAAATAAAGTCTCTACATTCTTTGCAAGTTGTGAAAAAATTTGTTTTAATATGGTTGAAACCATCATCAACAACCTGGTTATTGCAGAGAGTTGGAATAACTGCATGGAATCAGCATCTGGTCACAAACAGACCTGTCCATTGTAAAGAAGAAACTCTGAGCGGAGATTCAACTGCAACTGCATGTACTCAGTGGTTGTTAAACTAATTTACTATTTCTTTCTCAAACCTTTTTTCAGGTGCGTCTTGCCACTGAAGAAGGAATTGACCCATTCAAAGCAACACTTCTCATCGGTATCATGTCAGTTGGATCAACCCTCGGACGCCTCCTCTTTGGCAAGATGGCAGACCACCCAAAGGTGAACAGGCTGTATCTCTACCAGATCTCATTTCTCATGATCGGAATCAGTAACACACTTTGCCCTGTTCTAACTTCGTATTCTGGCCTTGTTATCTATGCCACGGTTTTTGGCTTCTTCGAAGGGTGCTATGTGCTTTTGGCTCCTGTCCTGACTGGTGACATTGTAGGAAGAGACAAGATGGCGCATGGTGTTGGCGTTCTGTTTGCCCTCAAGTCTGTGCCTCTTACACTTGGGCCCCCAATTGCTGGTGAGTTGAAAAGAGTGAAACAAGGATTGATTTCTATCCTTTCACTAAAATCAATTATCAATGCACTTGGAGGCCATAAAATTAAATGGTCAATCCCAACAAACAAGAACTACAATAAAACATGTAACTGGTGCTAAGTACAGAAAATATGGATAAAACAAAACCAGAACAGATCTGTGTTGATCACCCTTAACAGTGGCTTAAAATCCAATCTTACTTCCAGCTAATCTAAAATGTGAATATTTTTGGCTGCCCTTTCAGGTTTTATCTATGATGCCTCAAACTCGTATCAAGTGGCCTTCTACATTGCTGGTGCTGTACCGACTGCTGCTGCCTGCATGATGTTCGGCATTCCATTTCTGATGCCAGAGAGAGAAGAGGACAAAAAATGCAGAGTTGTTCTTGCAGAGGAAAGTGGCTATAATGAAAAGCCTACATACTTTGACGAAAAAAGAGCCTTGGCCGAGAAAGAACAACAGATGTACAGAAATCGCTACAGTGGTATTCCTGAGGTCATCATTGAAGAACCAGAGACAGAAGATAATTTTAGACCAGCATCTTTCTACAGTGTGGCAAGCAATGATAATGCTCTCTCCACTTTGAGTATCAACAACAAGAGAAACACTATTGGACTTAGCACAAACAGCATTTCAACAGTGCGAGAGACATGTCTTGTGTCGATGGACACCATAAATGTTAGACGAAGTCGGCTGCTCCAGCTCAGAGGGGAACTGAGCAGCTCTGTGTTCTCACTTGTAAGGAGATACATGGACATGCCCAAGGAGATTGCAGCCAGTGAATGTGGTAGCATTGCATGCATTCCCCAGCACATCGCAAACAATCCTCAACAGCCTCCTCCACCCCAAGCAGAAAAAGTAGTTGTCGTAGGCTTGGAGACAGTTGTATAGGTGCAACTGATGACTAGTCAGTATGCCTCATAAGAGGTGCAAAGTAACAAAGTTATTCATGAAAATCAATACTGAGTTTTGGTGTTTTAAAAAAATTACCCCATGGTAATGGAGACCATATTACGGAAGTGAGAGTCAAATCTTATTAGTTCCAAGATGGAAATAGCAGTTCTCCTAACCGATTGCCATACAATTTGTTTCATATTCATTGTGCGAATATGGTAGTACATCAAGATGATAGATTCCATAGGTGTATGATTTTCTACTTTCTCCTCACCTGGCTGCTTCAATATGCTTCAATATGTCAGGTCAGAAAATAAGTGTTTTCACTCTTGGATGAAAAAGGATCTTTTTAATTGACCAGATTAATCAGCGTCAGGGTGAATGTTTGTGAATTAAAAGTACCACATGTGAGGGTGGAATAATTTAATGCACTTGATGAAACAACCAATTTCAATATTTAAGGAGGAGCTATGTTAGATTCCGTCATTAACATATATCATTATATAACATTGTCAGAGTTAATTTAACAATACTATCC